GTCTCGTCTGGAGACATTCATATCAACACACATCCTATAGTGGATCGTGAGTCATCGATTTTCATGAACATGCCAAGGCCTATTTCCACCTGAACTTGTACTCTTTCTCGACTGTCCTGCTCTTTCGTGTAGAAGACTTGTTTTGATGCAGCAATGGTTGCACTGTGTTTCTCGTTTCGTCGACTTTTCTACCAATCACTCCAACTCTTTTGTGGTAAGACTGTCTCATAAAGCCACACTATAGTATATCTTGTACATCTCTGTTTCCCCCCCCCCCTCACATCTGTACATTTTCCTGCATCTCCGCCGAAAGCTATTTCACTCTCCTCTACACTCACAGTTCTTTATTCCAACATCAGGGGGGTTTCATCTCTATATTCTGTCACTTGGTTACCCTTTGGGCGAGATGACCCAGGTGGTTAGAGCGCGAGTTTACTAACCGGAAGGTCCGTGGTTCGAACTCGACCTCTGCCTCTCGACTTCCCCTGTCTAGGCTTGAACAACCTGATAGTGTCCCAACCCTCGTGCTTCCTTCGGGTGGCTTGGGAGCTAGGCATTGAAAGGGTGCTTCAGCTGAACGATCTGGTTACCCTTTGCCCACGCATTGTCCTCCTATTGAAGACCTAGTAAGCAGCGCCACCCACGTGGTTATGCCATTCACAGATGTTCCATCGGTGAGAAGCTGTTGCATTTTCTAGAACCTATACTCCTTTCTTGACTGTTAGGCCGGATCGCCATCTTATGACATAAGTTGGTTAGCTAATTCGGCAAGCCAACACATTGTTATACGCCTGAGCGGGAGGAAGACGCTTCGAGGCACTGACATGCATGGTCTAATCCCGCGTCCGATTGCACTCATCCAACCATACTGTTGCCTTAAGTGCATATCCCAGAAATAGGTGTCTATCACCACGTTTGACCCCACCATCCAGCAATCCTGGCTTCCGCTGGAATTCACACGTTTTCACAATGCTGGTTAACAAAACCGTAACAGCGAGAGCTACTGTACATGGTTTACAACTGAAGAGAAGTTCCTCTAGATTGAGTTGTGATACCACATGCCACTGGTCTACTGAATGTGTGAAGACCCTAGCTCATAGCTAATCCCCAAGACGGATCAACAGAAGAAGGAAACCATTCAGCCTAGTTTGAGGGGGGTCGCCAATTGAACCGAGAACTTCGGAAGGTTGGTCTCTATTGTTGTTGCGTGTTATTAGTTAAGACCCATAAGTGCATTACCAACCAACAGGTTATCTCTTCTAGTTATGCCTCGGTTGGTTAGTGTCTAACTCTCATGGTGATGCACGCATGTCACTCAGTGCTGCGGCGCGTGCTCCTAGTATTCATCTGCTTAGTTCTTCATGTGAATAATGCTGACTGCTGCCAATGGAATCGTCCCCATTTTTGTGAAATGAAGACACGATGCGACTTCTGCTTCATTGATGAGCATGTGGTGCTTTCGTTCTGGGCTTATGTTATCCAATGTAAGTGATTGGCTCCTGCCCAATCCAGGAAATGAGTTTCTTAAAGGACAACCTGCTTATCCACACTAAGAGGAGAAACGGGTTGTGTATTTGCGTAGATAAATGATAAGCAGGTAAACACGTTGGATATATTGTGAAGAGTTGTAAATTTTGGTCCTATTCAACTGTCATTGGCGGCTTGAACATCTTTACCGAATGGAGGGGAACCGGATTCCAAAAGCAGCTTCTGCGCTATCGGCTGAATGCCGAGTAACAGCGACTTGGCGAACAAGCTTTGACGTCCAAGAAGTGATCGAAATTATGGAAGCTGTGCACGTGTATCTCGTGAAATGAGAAAAGACGAGCC